TTTAGGTTCTTTACCCATTGAAATAGGAACACACAACTTGAGCACATGGTATATGTTGCACCTCTGCAAGTTGACATGCTCTTGGGCAGGAGGCTGCATGGGGTTGAATTGCACTGTGGTGTTGGTGAATTTAGGGTAGAGGCTAGGGTTGCAAAACCTCTCAGGCTATGCATAAAGGAAGCAAGAGCTCAGTGCAGAGAGTTGACCCCATAGTCAATAAAAAGTAAGTGAACACCCGTGTTGACCATAATGCAGCTTCTGTGAAGAGAGGAGGTCGACCAGGGAGTTATAAGAAAAAGCCAGATCAACATAACGGCCAAAGGCTTCCGCAAACCAGGGGCATAAGGGGTGTGGGGCAAAGAAGTTTAAGTAGGATGTCCTTGCCCCTTGCTCTCTGAGCGGGGGCAAATACATGTTTGTATCTTTTAAGTTGATTTGCAGTGTCCTACTGTCCTAATCCAGATGTCTGATGGTGTCCTGTATTCGTAGCCCAAGGAGGATCTTACAGGTGTGTTCGCCAATACCGCCTGCTGCAGCTATTCTGGAGGATCCAGACTTTGTGTTTATTTGAACTGTTTAATGTTAAAGAGATTTATCTTGGATAATATTTAATAATCAATTGTATTGTAAATCACAGGAAGATAATTGTGATCTATTGTTTCAAAAGAGTTATGTGATTTTGTATTGTAAATGGCCTCTACTTGGTCGAATTTGGACATTCCTCCACAAAATGGGGGGAATGTAGTGTATTTGGGGGGTGTTTTAAATTGAAATTGGGTTTGGGCTCGGGAGCCCATCTCTCTCTCTCTCTCTCTCTCTCTCTCTCTTCCCGCGTTTCCACCAAGTCAGGTGTAGGCCATGATTTGAGAGCTCCACGGGTATGTTATGGCAGCACATGGACCAGAATTCGGCGAATTAACACTTTTTTGTAATTATGTAACACTAATAAATCGGAAAAGTCAAGCATAAAACTTTTGTTATAATCATGCATTCTATAGACTTCATTAGGACTTATACTACATGAAGCACTTCACCACGACGTCATCACGTGACGTCTATATTTAGAAAATATGCCTTAATGAAAAAATGAAAAGTTTAACACTACCCCGGGGATAATTAATTTCAATTTGTAATAATAGTTATGTAAAAACATCTCTGTATCATGAAAAGTGCTGCTAGAATCCTACTGTCCTATCACAAAAATAATTATTCAACACTTTCTGACGAAACCTTCCCAAAATTTTTACATTTTGTTCATAACATCGAATAAAATGCATTAATTCCCGTAAAGCATACGATTCTAGCAGCACTTTTCAAAAATAATAAAATAAGAACTTTAAATAAAAACAAAATTTATGTTTCAAAGTATGCGGCGTAGTGTTGAACTTTTGCATCGTATTTGTTACGAACGACAGAGGAAAGGCTGATCGGCAAGAAAACACCCTCCATGCTTTAATTTTACGAAGCTATTGTTGAAGTATATTACCATACCTTATTCATAAGCTTTATTCCCACATGAATCACACATGATATTCATTCTAAATGCTTTTAAACTCCGATTTCTTGTGTTTGTTTACATGAATTCTTGCTACGTTTCACTTTCACTCTGACACTGCATGATCAACAGTTATGACGTCACGGGTTTGGTATTTAACCCCTGTGATATCTACAGAGACCCAGAAATGACAATATTTTGTATGAATAATGCCTTTGTATATTTTGATTAATTTTTACGTCCTCAAATCAATCTTAGATATCGATTATAAGAAATTGTTATCTCTAAACTTCACGTCATATAGCTTACTATGACGTCATATCATATAGGCAAGTAGAATATTTGGTTGTAACCTTAACCTACCTGCGTCCCTGATTTTGTTATATTTTCTAATCAATTGTCCTTAATTAATATATTATTTTTACCCAAAGTGATTCAGTTGTTTTCATAGTATTAGGAAATCACTTTACTCAAAAGAATTTTTTGTGATGTCTAACCTGATGAGATGAAGATGTAACAAGAGGCCCAGGGGCCTCAGCGCTCACCTGAGCACATCAGGCTTGAATTTACCCCCCCCCTCCCTCCAGGCGTTCATCATTTCAACAAACTAGAATCTACACTACCTGAGGATTATTCCATATAAATATCACTAATCATAGCTTTGAAGTACTTGAAAAGAAGATTTTAAAAGGTTTCCCTATATATCCCTATGTAAAACTTGAGTCGGTCATTTTGGCCCCACCCTAGCCCCAGGGGTCGTGATTTGAACAAACTTGAATTTACTCTAACTGAGGATGATTCCACATGAGTTTCATCTTTCCTAGCCCAGTGGTTCTGGAGAAGGATTTTTAAAGATATTTCATATATATTCCTTTGTAAAACTTGGGTCGGCCATTTTGGCCCCACCCTAGCCCCGGGGGTCATGATTTGAACAAACTTAAATCTACACTACCTGAGGATGATTCCACATGAGTTTCATCTTTCCTGGCCCAGTGGTTCTGGAGAAGAAGATTTTTTAAGATATTGCCTATATATTCCTATGTTGTGGAGAAGAAGATTTTTTATGAGTTTTCCTATATAATCCTATGTAAAATTTTGGTCGGCTACTTTGGCCCCACCCTTACCCTGGGGGTCATGATTTGAACAAACATGAATCTACTCTACCTAAGGATGCATTCACATGAGTTTCATCTTTCCTGGCCCAGCGGTTCTGGAGAAGAAGATTTTTTTTAAAAATGCCATTAATTTTAAAAAAATTCATGATTATTTCCCCCTGGAAAAGGGCGTGGCCCTTCATTTGAACAAACTTGAATCCCCTTCACCCAAGGATACGTTGTGCCAAGTTTGGTAGAAATTGGTTCTTGAGAAGAAGATGAAAATGTGAAAAGTTTACGACGACGACAACGACAACGACAGACAACGGACAAATTTTGATCAGAAAAGCTCACTAGAGCCTTCTGCTCAGGTGAGCTAAAAAAAAAAAAGCCTAATAGTGAATTAATATTGATAGTATGTCAAGTAATGCAAATGAATCATCAGCTTGAATTATGAGTTTTTTCACAATTATTGACCTGAGTAGGTAGAATAATACATACTCTTTTCCATATCACATCCTGGCCAGAGACACCAATATCAGACAGAGTCAATCTAGCTCCAAAACACCAAAACCGCAAACAAATTGCAACAGAAATAATTCCAATGGAATTTTGCTATTTAGAATATGCCTTTTGATATATCAAAACTCTAGAAAAATATATTTGTCCAATTTTTTTTTCACTTTTAAATATACCCCCTTTTTCTTTAAAAATCCGATGAATCACTGTATAAAGAGACAATCTGTTAATGCATTAAATTAGTTTTACCATCTATGATCTAAAATTCTTTTGACAGGTCATGCAAAAAAAAGTGCCTGCAAACTGAAACTGATGATTATTTCATTAACTACTATGATTGCTGTTCCCATGGTTATGGACATAATTGAAATATAAATCCATTTCCATTCTTCTGTATTGCTTTGTGCAGCGACAAAGAATATGTAGCCATAGTAGGAATAATAAGTTTTATTTGTTAGGAAAATGTTAAAAGAAAGAAATGTAGGACACAATTAAACACACAAATCCAAGTAATTTTTATTGCCCGGGGGGGGGGGGGGGGTCAGCCCCTCCTTGACATATCTTCCCTATATCGATTTATGCATGCATCCAATCTATTTCTAAATTTCCCCAACCTTTAACAAATTACAACAGAAATAATACCAGCTGATTTTTGTATATTGTAATGCTTCCATTGAATTTTGAATTATCAAAACTATATTTGTCCAAACACTTTTTTGCCATCAACTCCTCACCCCAAAGATTTTGTCTAAAATTGACAACCTGTTTATTACCAATTATTCTTAATACTTTAATCACATGTAAAATACAATGTACATTTTACATGAAATTGAGCAATTGAATGTCCGAGACTGCAGTTTTTTTGATCTACAGTTCACTTTGTATGTCATCCAGAGTTAGAGAAGGAGAGTTGGAACAATAAATACCTCGACACTCTCCACAATTGCTAGAACAATCAATTCCATGCTTCTTACAGGTACACCGTTTTGAATCACAATTGACTTTACACGAACAGTGGATTATTTGAAGTAACTTCTCTGGGGCTGGGGGGAGTGTGGCTTTAATAGGTAGTAATTTGTTTTCAGATATAAACCAACCAAATTCAAGTGGGTCAAGTTGACTCCCCTTATCCATCCAAACCTTGCTCTGCAAATAAGCCCGTAAAACATGTAACCTAGCTGAATCCGATGTTGGGGGCAGGGAGTGAACTTGAACATACAAATTCCCCTCTTATACTCTTGATGTGAATTTTCTGTAGCGCAGAAGGTTTAGATTTTCATACTGAATGCCACCATACAGTTGGACTAGAATTTCTTCTCCAGCTTTCACAATTTCGCCATCCTCTGTGCTATTGACAAACTGCAAAAGTAGCGTCTGGCAGTCTGGATATTTAGCCTTTTTGAGAAGAGCCCCTTTTCGAATACCATTAACCCTTGATGTCGTGTCACACCCTCCCAGTGCATGGATTGCTGGAAGAATTTGACAGATGACCTCCCCAAGACTTCTGTTTGCTTCTATGATGTTCCATACCTTTACTTTACAAAGTGATGTTTGTCTTTGTTCTGATTTAAGTAAATGTGGTTCATCTCAATGTCAGAATGATGAAGGAGAAGATCTAAAAGATCTGTGTCTTCACCAATTACCACTGTTTCATTTTCTTTAGCATGATTGATAGCAGTTTTTACAATAAGGAGGTCTGCATCCCCCGGGGCATTTAGGACTGTTTTACCAGTCTTCCTCAATTCTTCCGAAAGCATATCAATGAACTTCTGTTTTTTTTTTTCATTTGAAAGAAATATATCCTTCCTCGACATAAACGGCATGTCTTCTACGAAGTCTATAGCTATGGCATTTTTCATCATTCTTGATCTGCGTATATGAGTGATGTCTTTGGTAGATGGCTGGTTTTGATAGCCATCAAACACAACCACAGCAGCAGCTCCATATCTTCGGTTTACATAGTCGGTGCATGCTTTGCAAATTGATTTGAATGAGTCACCTCTATTCCATGGAATCTTATGCAATAAAGAACCGCCATCCAATATGTAGTCAGGTTCTTTAATTTCGCCATCAGCTGCACTGCAATGGACAGTGTTCCACAAGGCATCTGCAAGTGCTGATTTATTTGCCTCTCTTGGCAAACCATCTTCGTCAAAGAGGGAAGATGGAACACTGGTAAGTTCATATTTAAAGATTTCTGAGGGGTCTTAAAACATTCCATTTGCAGCAGTAGTACAGCGCTGAAATAACAGCTGTGGATCTACATCTACTGGGTCACCATCTAATTTCGCTTTGCATTTTGAGGAAAGTGTCACTACCTGTTGCGACTTCTTGAAAGTGTAGTCCACAATATTTTGCCCTGGTAAAGTTGAAATGATTTTCTTTCCAACAATTCTCGCAGTGTCAGCATTGACAGACTTGTGAGCTATTTCCCCTGTGTGGATATTTCTCAGTGTGTTGTCACCTTCAAATGGATTGCGTAGTCTTAGGAACTCTAAAACTGCGGAGATGTCCTTCTTGTCTCTCGACATTCTTGCTGTTGATGCTCCTTTATGGATGTCAGATGTTTGGAATCCTGTACCTGTTAAATCTTGCAATGCTTCATTTAATAATAATAATAATAATAATAATAATAATACTTTATTTAAAGAGGGTGACTCAATTAGTGCGAGCACTATTCTTCCTTGAGGCCCTCTATAAAAACATATATATATAATATACAATGATAAATAGTACACTCAACAATGTTATATACAGTATGACTCGATATACAATAAATAATAAAACATGCATCATTTCATTAATAATACAGTCTATATAAGTATACAATTATATAATAATTTAAGTTGAACGTTGGTCTATTATAAATTTTCTTGACTTGATTTTAAAATTTTGAAGTGATGGAGACATTCTTACATTTAAAGGTAAATTGTTCCACAAAACTGCACCTGAATATTGAAAAGAATTTTGAAATATTTTGGTTTTGTGCTTTGGAACAGTTAAGTCAAAATTAGATTCAGATCTGAGATGGTACGAATTGGTTGATTGGTAGTTGAACATTTCAGACAGGTAATTTGGACTTGCGCCGTAAAGTGTTTTGTACATTAATACTAACTTATTTAAAGTCAATTGCTCATGCACTGACAGCCAATCAAGTTTTTCAAATAAGGGTTTTGATGGCGTGTCATAGGCAGCATCTAAGATACAGCGAGCTGCCCTTTTTTGTAACTTAAGAATCCTCTCAAGGCTACAAGCTGATGCTTTACCCCAAACTGTTAAACAGTATTCAATTGATGGCATTATATAAGCATTATAAAATAACTTTCTTGTATGCAATGGAAGATATTTCTTAATTCTTCGTAATACAGATATCTTTCCAGAAACAGATTTACAAACAGCATCAATATGTGTAATAAAGTTAAGTGAATTATCAATATGAATTCCAAGTAATTTTTCATGTGTGACACTCTCAAGAAAATGATCTGAGATTTTTAATTTTAGATTTTGGTTTGTCTGTTTTGATCGTCTCTGATGTGTGCCTACCAACATGCATTTTGTTTTACTAGTGTTTAAAATCATCTGATTCTGAGAACACCATGTTTCTATATTACTTATATCCGAAGATAACATATTTTGAATGGAAGAAACATTACTGTCAGAAAAGTGAAGAGTAGCGTCATCCGCAAATAAGTCTATACTTGATTTTTCTATGAATAATGGGAGATCATTGATGTAAAATAAGAAAAGAAGTGGACCTAAAATTGATCCCTGTGGCACTCCCGCTGTGACTAACTTTTAACTTTGCACAGGCTGGCATTGACATGATCCACTGAGCACGCTGGTTTTCACCCATCCCTCGACCTCGGGTCATTCCACCAGATATTTTTATGGTTCGCATTAAAACCTGTTCAATCATTAAATCTGTTGAAAGTCCAGCCCAATATCTTTCACTCCTTCTCAGAACAGGTTGCCCACCCTGAAAAGCACTAAATATTTCAGGATGTTCAGACGGTAACATGTGCATTGATGTCAGATAGACATAAACAGACTTTGTGTAAAGGTTATGTCCAGCTGCGGCAAAGAATGGTAACATATCGTACATGGTTTGAAGATGAAGATTCCAATCTCCTGTTCTCTCTGCCTTTATAAATGTACGCAAAATCTGTACCATTTCAGAATATTGAATCCAAATCTGAGCTGTACGATTGTCTCTTAAAGCCTTGACTTCTTCTTCAAATGTCTGTCTTGTTTCCAACAGAATCTGATTTTGGCATGCTTCCTCTATACTCATCTCCCCATTTGATAACTTGTCATAAATGTCAGTTGCGCTAGCTAATAAACTGTTCCTCTGATGGTACATCCTGCTTTCCATTTCTTCTGCAGACACATCTTCAACATATTCTTGATTGACCATATCATCAAAATCAGTGTTCTCTACTCTAGTCTGTTCTTTGTTCTCCAACATACTTGTATCTAAGTCAACTTTAAAAATTTTGCTCATAAGTAAAGCATGGATTGCTGTGTCTACAATCATGTGACCTCTTATAGCTCTGGCAACAGCCTTTCCGCTCAGCATATGAGGTACTGTATTTGATGCATAGACAATTTTCAAAATTTCTTGGAGGCCAGTCCCACTCATGATGTGCCCTATGCAACCAGGGAAACTCATTTCAGTGTGAAAACCACCTAAACGCAAAACAAGTCATTTGAGGGAACTATCAGGCATTTCGTTGGCAATGATTGTGTATGCTTTCCAGTACAGAGGCTGGTCAAATGTAACTACTGGTGTTACACCATAACGTTTTGCCTGGGAACAAATGAAGTTCAATGTCGAATAAACACAAGAAATATCACTTGCACTCATGTCAATCATGGGTAGGAAGATAACATCAGATTTTCCAGGATGGTCACCATCCTGAATCATTTGCATGAACCCAGACCATCCAGTTGAGGGAGCCTTTAATGGCCAAGTGATTACTGATAGGAAGTCTAGCAGTTTGGTTGTGTCCGTTACATTCAAGTCATCGAGTTCCGTGTAACAAAGACTCGCCATTAAATTTGATGGAGGTCTGTAGTATGTTACATCTATTTTTGCTAGTTGCTTCAGTTCCTCTGCAGAAACAACACATCTAGAAATTTGTTTATGATGGTTTGTTGCAGGTGTTATTCCTGTTATCATCCCCATCCCATGAAATTAGTCATTACCATCTAAAGTTCTGATGTTGTGATCGACATTATCAGCAACAAATTGAATGAAGCTTTGATCAGTACAACCTGGAATATCAATGTCTTTACTTTATACTGCAAAGGTTTCAAATTTTTGAACTTCAGGATATGAAGAACAAAATCCTAAGTTAGAAAGAGTTTCAATAAGAAAGCGTGGTGCAAAACAGTGGTGTAATTGTACTCCAAGAGCAATCTGCAATGGTGAAATGAGACTCCTTGGTCTTGCACCTTGGATAATGGCCTGACCTAATGATGAAACCTTTAGGTTTTTATCTTTTTCAGAAAGTATATCTTCAAGAAAAAGCTGTAGACTCTAGGGAACAAATTCAAGATGCTTTTCAACTGATGATATTTCAGATGGTGAGGGATAATATTCTTTATTCACTGGCAATGATCTAATGTCACTCTTGATCAGTTTTGCAGCAGCTCTTATAATTGACCTTTTCTCAGCTTCTGAATCTTGAGCTTTTGGTCGATTATAGAAATCATGAAGTATGGATGTGGCTGTATCTCTCAAAGTAATCACACTTGACTTTCCGCTTACATCAGTGACTATGATTTCATTTCCAAAATGTTCTTTCAATTTTTTCTTCATATGCACCGACGAATATGCTTCTTCTCCACATATGTCTTTCATTTTGTTCACAAGATCAATTACTGTGATTTGCTCATCCTCATGTTGTTTCAAATACTCAACAATTTCTAGAAAAGCATCTGTGCAACTCACTGGTCTTCCTCGTTTCCTCCCAACTTTGTCGGAGGAAAAATATTGGGGCATGCTTTTACCGGTTCTGAAGTTAACGCTATTATTTTTTTTAATCTCGTTTATATTAGTATAAATTCTGCGACACTCTTCATGAACATAATTGCCAGGATATGCTACTAGTATGTCTTGTCTTTCTTTACTGGCTTTATTAATACCATCACTGCCTTTATTTCGTATTTGTACAAGATGTTTGGTAGATTCCTCCTTATGACATATGATACAACTGCTCATCTTCTAATTTTTACCTATTACAGAAGGAAAATGCTAATATTTGAATATATTAAACATACAGTGCATTTATTTACTCAATGAATATATATTTGTAATTATTGATTCACAAATTTTGTACATTTACTCTGTCTATTCTTTTGATTTTGGAAAATAATCTAAATAACAAGATTTTTTTATAACTCTGACACCCAAAAGGCCAGAGGTGGTATTTTCTTTATATAAGTCCAGGATTAAGTTAACAACCAATAAGAAGCAAAAAAATTATAAAATTGTAATATACATTTCAATAAAGAAAAATGCATTCTGATTTTAATTTAGGGGTCAAAATACACCTTTCTTTATGAATAATAAATTAAAAAAAAAATATCTGAACTTTGTAATTAAAATTTATAAATGTAATACAAATTATCCAAGAACAAAAATATCATATAAATATTTTTTTTTTATTAGGAAAAAATTAATTAAACAATACATTCTGCAAATAACAATAAAATGTATAGTTACCATTTCTGACACTGTATTTAATGTCTAAAATAATAATTCAAAAATACAAAAAATAATTAAATTTTGCAACAAAAAAATGTTAAAATAATATAATAATAATGAAAACATTTTAATACAAGAATAACAAATATTTATCAAGTTCATCATTGTCTATAAATCAATATTTATTCCAATAATTTTGGTAACATAGTTTACATTAATTATAACAATAACAGTTTTCCATAGATTATTTCCCTTGGTGTTTCCAATGTAATAATAGAAAAGAAATAAAGTAATAAACATCATTGTTTAAATGAGTAAGATTCATTATACTGTGAGGTTATAAAGCTGAGCAGTTTGAAATATTAAAAAGAATTTAGTAATATGCTAGAACAATGTATATTTGCAATTGCCCAGTATTTTGATGTGCATCATTGAATATTTGACACAAGTATTAAATCTGTCATGCTGATATGGTAGTACAGACATAGAATATATAGACTTTTATGATAGTTGAAATATGTAGACATATACCTCAATTGAACAGATACAAACCTAAGCTGATATAGAATGATTTATGCATCTCTATTACATGACTTTTTTGTTTACTTTAGACAATAATTGTCTCCCTTGGTGTGTTTGGTGGTACATTTACGCAATTCATATTCTACCAAATTTGTCAATATTAATAGTGGCTAAAAACAACTTTCGCCTGCATATAATTTTCTAGAAATTTTATATGTTTATTAATATACTGTTTACTAATAACATGTATGTATGAAGAAAAAAAATTATGTTGCAATTTGTTTGGGGTTGATGACAGATTGACTGGACTAACAGAAAAAATCATTCATGATTCGAATGTATATGACAATTGCCTGAAAAAAAAAGATTCTAAATTTAATTCAAATACTGAGCTGTGGTATATCAGCTGTTAGCTACAAGAAGTTTAATGTTAAAGCTAGGGCTGAAACAATTTGCCCCCTCCATGTTATGTGTGTATTGCTATGATTGACATGCAATCAGTTCTCTAATACATACACTTCAATAAAACTTTGTCGTCTCGAACTTGAATTGAACAGGAAAAAACTCTGAGATCTCTCCAAAAATTTGAATGAAAAAAAGAAATGCTTATTAACTGATTTCTTGCTGGTCAGTATTTTGATTACTGAAAGGAAGCTCCAAAAACTGCAAACTAAAGAGTTCTACTTTAATATCAGGTAGTTTTATGAAGTTAGAGTGATCTGCCCATAGATTCAGATTATGAAAAATGTTATTTTACAGTCAGTTAGATTATTTTAAAAAGATTAAATTATTTTTTAGCATTACATGTATTTAAGATTAAAAAAATAGGAAATTAATTTTTCTCATAATTTTTTTTCAATGCAAGTAAACAGCAATGATTTCTGCTTACAGATAGTCCATTGTCTTTGAAAATTTCTTGGGGAAATGAGGCACATACCAAATGTTCTAAATGAACAATTAAGGCTCATTATGCACATATTTATATGAAACATAATAGATTTTTTTCTCTCCAAGGAATAATTTCTGCAAGTCACTAAGATTTTAGAGTTTCCTTTATTTTAATGATAATTAATGAAGTTATTTGAAATATTAAATTGTGGTAAATTTTATGATACTAAATGGTGATATGACTGAAAAAAAACAGCATTTGTGTATGACAATAGGGCTTAAAATTTTTAATGTCTCTTAATTTGTCAGTGACATTAAAACAGGAATTGTCATCACCAATAGACGAGTTTCACATTCCTAAGAGTTTTCTTAAATTGTCGGCGTATCGCTCATTTTTCCCACTTTGTCATTTGTAAGTTACTTGTTAATATTTTCAATCTTCAAAAATATTGGACATATACGATCTGTATCTGTATTGCCAGAGTATGGGGCAACATGAAAATCATAATGAATATGTTCATAAAGATTTTATTTCTAAGATATTGTCCCTCAAAGTTGATACGGTTTAAGAGGGAAAACAGCGTCTTAAGCCGGTTGACCCCAGATTGACCCTACGAAGGGGAATAACTTTTGTAAAAGTCCTTTATGGTATATTATATAGATCTAAAACTGACTGAATTTTGATCAGCCAATTCACTGAACATGATGAATGGATGAAAATAATGTTGGTCAATATATGTAAAAAAAATACTTGTTTTTAT